GACCCAAGAAACATTTGCAAGTTGCAGTCTGACACGTTTTTCCGCAGACATGACTGCATGTGTTTGATAGTGTGCTGAACTTCAGTTCACTCTTCCACTGACGCTCCACCTCTCTGACTGAGACCTTACACAACGTCTCTGGAGGAGAAGCTCTGGATTATGGGTAATTGGGCTCAAAGGAACGAGCGCCGAGACTCCATTACACATCCCAACTTGTCATCAAGACAAAGTCGCCATGTAATTATCCTTAAAATTGAAGTACAGCTCATAATTAAATCTGCCGCATCTTTTAAGTTACCCTAGGAGTTACAGATAATTCTACGAACACTGTGGAGTCCAGCAAAACAAACCCAACACATGACACTATGAAAAAAAATTAGCATGTGGCTAAGCCAACAAAGCAATATTCTAATAAGCAATTGATAATAATCATATTTCTTTAGCAGCAAATCAGCATATTACAAAGATTTCTGAAGGATCATGTGACACTGAAGACCGTTTTTCCAGTATTTTTGATTAAATAAATGCAGCAGAGAATACTTTTAAAACTATCTAGATCTTTTATTTAAAATAAAAATAAGAAATGGTGCATGCTATTTCACCATGAAACCTAACACAGTTTGAGTTGTTGAACTAGAGAGAAAAAGCTTTTAAAATTAATTTCATATTGTTCTTTAACGCATATGACATTTGATACTCATGTAAAATGTAAAAATGGTGGTGTTCTCTTCTGGTTAGGAAAATGAGAAAAGCACGTAATTGTGTGATTGGAGTGAACTGCAGCCGTTTGGAACAGTTTTCCCAGAACGAAAAACGAGAATAAGGGCAAATAAAATTACAAAAAATGAATGAATTGTCTGCTTTTTCAATTCACGAGTGCATTATAGGATTACAAGCTGACTAATATTAACATGCTCATTAATATTCCCTGCATAATTATCAGAGCTGAATCAATTCTAAATTGATAAATTAAATTGATCAGTTCCAGGTGACAGTCATTCATAAACTACTTATTTTTTTTATTTAGCAAGGAGGCATTTATATATATATATATATATATATATATATATATATATATATTTTTTTTTTTATTTATGTGTGTGCTTTAGTATATAGACATGATGTAATCTTCCTTTTATACAGCAAGCATGCATTAATGTGGGATTAAGATGGATGCTGAAAATTTAGCTTTGCCATTACAGGAATAAAATACATTACAAAAGAAAAAAATTGCAAAAATATTAAAAATTATTACTGTATTTTTGATCAAATAAATGCATGCTGAGCATTAGGGACTTTCAGAAACAAATCTTACTGACTTCAAACTTTTGAAAGGTAGTGTATTATAAATAAATATTAATAAAAAATACAAAATAAACACACACACGCAGGTGCAGTTCATTCCTAACGAGAGAAGTGTTGGAGAGATGACAGGTTTTGGGATAAAAAATATGTTCGAAACTTGCAGGATCACATTTCAGAGTAACCTGAGACACTTTTCTGAAACAAACAACAAACACATATCAAAGATTGCAGCTCAAACGTCAACTGATTTTAAAATTAATTCAGAGTTGGCATAGTTAATCCAGACGGGAAACGAGAGAGCTTGTGACGTGTGAAGACGGCACAAAAAACATTACTATGCATAGAAGTAAAGATATATGGAAAACAGATTATACACTAAATGTACATGAACAAAGCAATGCTCACAAACGCTCGAAAACCACATCCATATTTGCACCATAAATCTGAAATCCACACTTTCACATTATAATAATGTGACTGGTAGATTTTGTAATTTCACACAGTTGTCAGTATCACACCTGTAATAATAGGACTCTTCTCTAACACATCCAGCCACTTTATTAACAAAAGTCTTGATTCACCTGGATAAACACAAACACATGCACATCACGAGAAATCTAATCTAGCATTGTCCATTATCTGAGTGCAGGTGTCTTCATTCCACATCGCCTGCATTCTGTGATGAATATGACTGAAGGTGTTAATCACCTTCGGGAAGAAATAGAAACACTATTTCTGGTGCATTCCCGGCAGTCCACAGTACAGGCCTGTTCATTACGAGCATGTATGTACACCACGACAAGATGCTACAACAAAACAAAAAGCATCCCCTGAACCCGCTCATATACAAAGTGCCATATTTTTGAGTAAATTTTACAGTTTCTTTTCTTTCTTTCTTTTTTTTTTTTTTGTACATGCCATTTAATATCCAAACACCCAGAATAAACCAGTTCTAGCATAAATATAAGGTTTTGTAGACAAATGCCGCTCAGGGTATGATGAACAATAATATTCTAAATTTTAAAATATTAGTTGATTAAATTTAAATGTATTTATAATATCAATTTATTTATAAAATTTATTGGAATTTCATGTAACTATTTAATAAAAATAAAAAAAAAATCAGATTTTCACCTGTGAATCAAGTTGCTGCGTCTCATTGCTCTCAGAGTGAAAAGGGAGTCAATTTAAGGCTTTGTAGACAAATGTGAACCTGAACCACAAAACCAGTCATAAGGGTCAATTTATTTTTAATTGAGATGTATACACAATCTCAAAGCTGAATAAGCAAGCTTTCCATTGATGTATGGTTTGTTAGGATTGGACAATATTTGACTGAGATACAACTATTTGAAAATCTGGAATCTGAGGGTGCAAAAAAATCTAAATATTGAGAAAATCATCTTTAAAGTTGTCCAAATGAAGTTCTTAGCAATGCATATTACTAATCAAAAATTAAGTTTTGATATATTTACAGTAGGAAATTTACAAAATATCTTCATGGAACATGATCTTTACTTAATATCCTAATGATTTTTGGCATAAAAGAAAAATCAATAATTTTGACCTATACAATGTGTCTTTGGCTATTGCTACAAATATCCCCCAGCGACTTAACACTGCTTTTGTGCTGCAGGGACACAAATAATGTATAACATGAACAACAGTATTCACATTTTTTAAATATTAACTGAAATAAATTTTCATTAAACCAGTATTTAATCTAATTTAATCTTAAATACTTCATTTCATTAAAAAAAACAATGTAAAAATTTTAATATTTTATGAAAAATATAATATTTAATTAAAAAAAATACTACTTAGTGTATGACATGAACAATTCTAATTTTAAAATATTAGTCAAGTTAAATCATTAATAATATTGAAATGAAATGAGATGATTTTCACCTGTGAATGGAGTTGCTGTGTCACATTGCTGTCGGTGTGTGAAAATGGAGCCAGTGAGCAGCAGGGCACACCAAACAAGTGCTTATCCGCCTCCATCAGTGCGTTACAGAGAGGGTGACTGTACATTGTTTTCCCGCGGTCTCATGCACCTGTTGACTCCACTTTCCCACACCTGCGGGTGGAGGGTCTTCCATCAGCGCTCCGGCACGCAGGTGGCTGCTGCCAGACTCTATGAATTCCAATATGAAAGCCTGACCCCCAACCTCTGCGCCAATCAAATCCAACACAATCCCAGCAGCATTGCTCCACAGCAGAGGAACACATCAGGAATGTGTCAGTCACACGGAGAAGCCTGTATCATACAGTATGTCTACAATACTGGCACAGATAGATGGGAAAATAACTCAGAACTTTACAGAAGATCTTATTTGTTTGAACATCAGAACTTCTCATCACCTTCGCACATCTGAAGATCAGCACTTTATTTCCAACAGCAGATCACAGATTTTTAGTGCATTCATTGCGATGTCCTCAACAAGACACACGGTTTGAGGCATCATTCACGTAAGTTAGGCGGCAAAAATAGTTGGTATAAGAATAATTATGAGCAAAAGAAAGAACTCCTGCCTGCTTAGTGCTGGTAGATTACTTACAAATTGTAGTCAGATACTGATTACAAATTACATGACAAAAATTGTAGTTAGTAACGTAATCCATTACAGAACACGTACTAAATATTTGGAATTACATGTTTTCAGTAACTACCCAGCACTGTTCTGCCTCAATATAAACATGACAATTACGCTGTGAAACAAGCAAACGGTTGCTTCGGATCAGGGACTCTCAGAAAACTCTCCAAGTCTGCGACAGGAAATTCAGGTCTGACTTCCTGCTGGCTGTGAAAGAGCGCTAAACCTTCATCTTCACAGTCACGCTGGACGCGGTTTGGCAGAGGAGTTGAGAATAGCATGAATAAAACAAAACACAACAAGAGACACACACACACACACACACACACACACACACAAAACGGTTGCTTCGGATCAGGGACTCTCAGAAAACTCTCCAAGTCTGCGACAGGAAATTCAGGTCTGACTTCCTGCTGGCTGTGAAAGAGCGCTAAACCTTCATCTTCACAGTCACGCTGGACGCGGTTTGGCAGAGGAGTTGAGAATAGCATGAATAAAACAAAACACAACAAGAGACACACACACACACACACACACACACACACACACACACACACACACACACACACACAGAGATTCATAATTCAAGGCTTTCATTTCAGCAGCCGCCACACTTCTGATAGAGCGAGAACAGAGCGAATTCACGCAGGTGCACATGGAAATGCTACTTGCCCAACACACACACACTAACTGATGTTGCACTGATGGGAAAAAAATAAAATATTCGCACATTCTTGGCCATTTCTGACTGCTGTTTCTAAGCAACAGCAGCATGTGTTGAAGGGAGAGAGAGTTAATGTAAGCGATGCTCCCTCTACACGACTGCACATTTCTGATGTTACTCCAGCGCAAAACGAAAAACAGAAAATCAGCTCAACTAAGCAAGAAGAAACTTGCTAAATGAATGAACAGCATTTCAACTAGTTCATTTAAGTCAACATCAAACCTCACCGGCAACCCATTTTACTTGCAGAAAACAGTGCTGACAAACAACATCACAGATTGCTTTCTGCTCTGGCGATTAAAGGGTCTGACCAATAGAAACACAGCATTATAGGGAACACTAGTTAGCAAACAGTACTGAGCACATCTACTTACTTATTCTGCATCATGTTCATTATGACCCAGTCGGCAGGATACACGTTCTTCCCAATGAGATCCTTAAACATGATAAACGTCTCCATAAGGAAATCCTAAAGAAGAGTCACAAAGTTTGGGATGAAACAGACATGACGACAACATGCAGAAATATGTAACAAACATTTAATGCATTTATACATTTTTAATTTATTTTATGATTATAAATATATATATATATATATATATATATATATATATATATATATATATATATTAGGGCTGTCAATCGATTAAAATATTTCATCGCAATTAATCGCATGATTGTCATGAGTTAACTTGTGATTAATCGCAACTTAATCACACATTTTTATCTGTTCTAAATGTACCTTAAATTCACACTTTTCAAGTTTTTAATACTCTAATCAACATGGGCATGAACAAATATGGATGCTTTATGCAAATGTATGTTTATTATTAGTGAAACCATAGTCAACATAGAGCATGAAGACTAGGCATGTTTCAAAGGTCATAGATGTTTTTCTTGTTCATATCTATTAGACACATGAAAAAAGAACATAGAAATACCAGGCTCCCATTACTTCTTTTCTTTGCTCTGAGCAATTTACTAACACAAGCCTGTTTACACTATTCACACGACAGGGCAGCTTACTTCATCTGAACATGCAAAATGTACATTTATTACTTATTATTACATTTGTTTGCCTCTCTGTGCCCACATTCTGTATTTTGATGCAGCTAAATTCTCAAAACTGTTTTCATTTATATATTTTGCTGTTTCTGTTGTCAGACAATGGAATGAATATGAAATAGTGACTGACGCGATCCATTAAGACTACATAGCTCTCCCTTCCAAGATGTTAATCTGCACAAAAATCCTGATTTATAATCGATTCGATCCATCATCTGACGAAATAAAATAGGCTTCACATAAGATGAAGACAATAGCTATGCTGTGATTTCGGCTACACTTGCATGTAAAATTGGAGAAGCAACATATCTGTTTTAACTGAAAGCGCTGCTCCTCTCAGTCGCTCGCTGATCAGAGCAGACGCTGAGAGAGGTGTGCACACAGCGGGAAAGAGACCCCTCACGCTCACACGGCAGTACCCACGAGTCAAAGAAACTAAGGGCAAACCCTAAAGATTTGTCGCTAGGTGTTTTGTTTTTTTGGAAAAAAAAATATAAATAAATAAAGTCGCTAAAGGGGTCTGACAAGTCGCTAAATTGGCAACACTGTGCATCTCCATTCCTCCAACTACGGGCCAGGCCATGGGTCAAACAGAAAACACGCACTATGGTAATCGCGCGTTAATAAAAATATTTGTGCCATTAAAATGAATTTGCGTTAACAGGTTAATTTTGACAGCCCTAATATATATATATATATATCATTATTAAATATAAATAAATAACTTTTCCTCTCAGTCGCTCGCTGATCAGAGCAGACGCTGAGAGAGGTGTGCACACAGCGGGAAAGAGACCCCTCACGCTCACACGGCAGTACCCACGAGTCAAAGAAACTAAGGGCAAACCCTAAAGATTTGTCGCTAGGTGTTTTGTTTTTTTGGAAAAAAAAATATAAATAAATAAAGTCGCTAAAGGGGTCTGACAAGTCGCTAAATTGGCAACACTGTGCATCTCCATTCCTCCAACTACGGGCCAGGCCATGGGTCAAACAGAAAACACGCACTATGGTAATCGCGCGTTAATAAAAATATTTGTGCCATTAAAATGAATTTGCGTTAACAGGTTAATTTTGACAGCCCTAATATATATATATATATAATTATTAAATATAAATAAATAACTTTTAATATAGCAACAAATGTTGCTTTTTTGTACATAATGTGTCCTGTACAATTTTATTTTCTTCTAAGAAAAAAAATTATAACTTCTTTACCATGATTTACAGAAGAAACCCACCAAAAATAGCATTCAGTGTAACAGTAGTTCATATACTGAACCAAAACATCTTTTAAGGCATATTTACAACAAGAATCAGATGACATTAAAAGACTATTTATGGATCACAGTGCAGCACCAAAATACTAATTAATTGAAATTTTAAATCTTTAATATTTGCTGCATCTACTACATCTTACCCATTTGTCAGTAATATATAGTAATATATTTTGATAAGTGCAGGTCAGAATAAGCACATCGTTTGATTTTTACATAAATGTGTTATGTTGAATGACGATGACATATTAATTCACCCATATTTCATATAAGTTATTTGAAACATTAAAGTAGACTCTTTGGTTGTATTCACACCACGAAAGTCCACTAGTTCACTAGCTTTGGTCCGGACCAAATACAATGTTGATTTATCTAACGCTGACAGGAGCAAAGAGCTGCTGTTAAAGGGCCATAAACCCTTCAAAATGAACCACACACACACACATTACAGTCACTCTGAGGAACTTCACCGAGAGAAGACGTGCAGCAATTCCAAAAAGCATTCCTCATTAACAGCACTTCTGACAGAAAGTAATGTGGCGAGCACCGTGTTTGAGACATCAATATTTCTCCAATCTGATTACAGCAGTCAGAGACACACTAAAGGAATCTAATGATACTTACACTTTCCCACATGCGGGAATTGGGGTCAATATAACATGCAATTAACCAGAAATAAATTGCCAAGAAATGAAACGGAGGGGAAAAACTCATTTAAGATTCAAAACACAACAAAAAGGCAGTAAAAAACCTTGAACAAGCAGTGGGAATCAAACCTGTGCAGCGTATTAGAAAATGTCACATTACCTGCTGAGGAAGCCATTCAAATGTCATTTATGTAACATTAAAGATAGGCAAGTAAGAGAGAAAGTTAATAACTTATGCATAACTTATAGTATAAAACCGCTTTTAATACAAAACCTGAAAATAAGCAAAGGCATAGTTAATTAAAATAATTTAATCATTATTGCTGAGGACATTTTTGACGTTCTTGGTCATATGTATGTCTTAGACATTGTTTGACACTTAAAAAAAAAACAACTCTATTCAAGTGTCATTCACATGCAAATTAAAAATTTAAAACTATAAAACTTAACAGAGTGAAAAATATAAGGGGGTCTGAATACTTTCCGTACCCACCGTATATTCATAAGTTAAGCACATTATTATTAATTTCTTAGTAGCATTATTGCAATATTTAAAAAAAATAAATGAAATATATCAAATATAATATAAAATAAATTGTAAAGAACATTTGTAAAGTACAATTTAAAGTATGCAGCAGATTTTAAAAATGATTTTCATTACTATTACAGCAAAACATCTTAAATTTCTTCATGCATTATCCATTTTCTCTCTCTATCTTGTCTTTCAAAAATAGCCTTTTCCAAAAAGCAGTACAATTAAAAGGGTCAGAAAGAGGGGGGGGATTGAAAATGGAATTTATGGAAGAAACCTTGACTAACATTGTGAGTGGACTTGAGGGAGAAAGAATAAATAAATACGACAATGCGCAGGAGTCTTATTAGTTTAAAAGCCACTTCATTCATCTTTGCTAATTTGCAGCCATCTGAGAGGAGGAAGAACATTTCCAGCAGATTCCACATGAGCAAACACTGCAAACCGCAACCAGCCGCACGCGAAGCCTTTGCACTTTAAAAAGTGTGACCAGGGCTATTCCACGTTTCATTTGCAAGTCTTTCCTGCAGCGGTAATTAGGTCTGGCCTGCATAACTCAGCAGAAACACAACACACAGCTCATGTTCATGACAAGCTCCCCTCTTTCTCTCTCTCCGTCTCACCTTAGGAAGAAAAGACTGGAGAGGATAAGACTGAAGAGGTAAAACTGGGGTCTTCTGTGAAATATTCATGCTTCAACACGTTTGTCAGCTGAAGTTACAGTTATTTCAGAGGCACAAAGTTTATTTTCCTGGCTGGGTAAATACACAGTAAACACAGTTAGCCTGGAGTGAGAGATTAGCGCCTCGCTGTTCTGCTAATGCGGTTTTACAGCTAATATTTATGTTTACTGAACATCCTATCTGAGCCTTTGTGTTTGAACAGGACACATAATGACAGACAACACCGGCATCACACACACACAACACAATACCAATGCCGTGAGGTCAAGATAACTAATATCATTTACTCACCTAACTATTAACTTCACAATCAAAAATGATGGTAAAAAGTGCTGAAGAAAGACCGTTATTATTGAGTGAAATATTGTAAAGATAATGTTATCTTCTACAGCAAAGGAGCGCTGACAGCTTACACTTATACCTAAAAACAGAGAAGATAAAATGACAAGGACAAACGATAGGTCAGTTCTTATTATTCGTTGTGAAAGCGAAACTACTTTGGTTGGTCTTCCAAAAGAGGACACGACTAGAAATCAGTGGTTAAGTTTTATTTACAGCACTGCTCCAGAACAGTTCAACCCAAATATTCAGATGTGTGCAGCACATTTTATGGAGGACTGTTTCCTGATCCTGGTAGAGTAGACTATAATGCCGGCTGTTCTGACTCACAGACAGTAAGTACGTTTTAATTTAAAGGATTTGCCACTGATGATTCAAATGTGAATTTTGGGCAGTGTAGAGTATTTTCTCCGATCACAAATGCAGACATGGTTTTATGTTTATGCGTAAAAAGACAGTATAAGTCAATATAATCCGTAATTATGTCCCCACGGGATGCAACAAATGCCTCATTTATAATGAGTTTTAATGGTTTTGTCTCATCGCTCCGGGACGGCATCACAATATGGTAAGGGGCGTAACATTTATGTCACACACTTGAGGTATTCAGCCAATCACAACGCACTGGATAGCTGGCCAATCACAGCACACCTCACTTTTCAGAACGATGAGCTTTGTAAGCAATCAACGCATTTCAGAAAGGCGGGGCATAGAGGAGAAACAATAATGTACAGTATGTCGAAAATAATGTTTTTTTAACCTTAAACCATAAACACATTTCATTACACCACATACACAAAGATCACAAATGCAGACATGGTTTTATGTTTATGCGTAAAAAGACAGTATAAGTCAATATAATCCGTAATTATGTCCCCACGGGATGCAACAAATGCCTCATTTATAATGAGTTTTAATGGTTTTGTCTCATCGCTCCGGGACGGCATCACAATATGGTAAGGGGCGTAACATTTATGTCACACACTTGAGGTATTCAGCCAATCACAACGCACTGGATAGCTGGCCAATCACAGCACACCTCACTTTTCAGAACGATGAGCTTTGTAAGCAATCAACGCATTTCAGAAAGGCGGGGCATAGAGGAGAAACAATAATGTACAGTATGTCGAAAATAATGTTTTTTTAACCTTAAACCATAAACACATTTCATTACACCACATACACAAAATAATGTTCTTTTTAGCAACATCATACGACTCCTTTAAAAAAAATTATTCATGTAATTATTTACTTAATGATTTATAGATCTATTCTTGTTTTGTTTATTATATAATAATACTAATTTGCTCTTTGTTCATGCAATAGTCAATGCTTTGGCAATACTGCCAAATACTCTCATGCCAATAAAGCTCACTTGAATTGAATTGAAAAAAATAAATAAATAGAGAAACAAACAATTAATAGATGGAAGGAAAAAAGAAAAATAAATGGACGGATAGACAAAAGATGGATGAAAAGAAAAAATAATGAGAAAATAATGGAAACAGAAAAAAGAAAATTGGATGGACGGGAAAAAAAGAACAATGGACTGATGGATGTAAGAAAAAGAATAAACGGATTGGTGGATGGATGATCAAAAGAAAATAAATGGATGGATGATAGATGGAAAGAAAAACAATAAGAGGATGGATGAAAGGAAAGAACTACAATAAATGGAAGAATGGATAGATAGATAGAAAAACAAATGGATGGATGGATGATGGAGGAAGGTAAGAAAACAACAGATGGATGGATGGAAGGAAAGAAAAACAATAAATGAATGGACGATATAAAAAACAAATGGATGGATGGATGGATGGATGGAAAGAAAGAAAAACAATGGATGGATGGATGGACGGTAAGAAAATCAGATCAATGGAAAAAATAAAAAAATGGAAGGAATGGAAGAAAAAGATGAATGGATGGAAAGAAAGAAAAAACAACCGTAGACAGACGGATGGATGAAAAAGTATGCAGATATGCAGCTCTCAAATTGTGACATGAACATCGTGAAATAATGGTGATTTGATGGAAAAGGCTTTTAATTTAGATCACGTGCTGGTCTGAGTTCTGATGACAGGCCTCTCTCTCTTTCTGAGCGGACGGGAATCCTGCAGCTGATTCACTCTCATCTCAGCAGACAGAGACAAAGGCTGCATCCTCTAAGGTTCATCTCTCCCTTCATCTGTGTTGTGCTCCTCAGCCCGTTGCCATGGAAACTGTTTTCTTAAGGAGGTCGATCAAATAAAAGTCAGAGAGAAAGAATGAGATCTTGCTCAAGAGTTTCCCCGACTTCAGCTCCAGAGATTCCTCAAGGTCAGTCTGTGCAACACCAGCGAATAATCAAGCACACATAACATATCCACACACCTCTGAAACTCTGGAAACAAACGTTTATGGGAGTGGCCAACAACCTTGCACCACCAATCAGAAAGCCAATTAAAGCAACTTTGATCAAGACTTGATCAGAATGTACATACCACTGGAGCACACTTCACTAGTGACAAAAGTTTTCAAAAGTTTGACATTTTTAATGTTTTTGAAAGATGTTGTATATGCTCAATAAGGCTGCATTTATTTAATAAACAAATACAGTAAAATGTTGTGAAATAGACAGTATTACAATTTAAAATAACTGGTTTCTTTTTGAATATAATTTAAAATGTAATTTATTTCTTTGATCAAAGCTGAATTTTCAGCACGTCACACGATCCTTCAGAAATCATACTAATATGCTGATTTGCTGCTCAAGAGACATTTCTGATTATCATCAGTTGAAAGCAGTTGTGCTGCTTTACTAATTTGTTCTTTGTTCATGCAATAGTCAATGCTTTGGCAATACTGCCAAATACTCTCATGCCAATAAAGCTCACTTGAATTGAATTGAAAAAAATAAATAAATAGAGAAACAAACAATTAATAGATGGAAGGAAAAAAGAAAAATAAATGGACGGATAGACAAAAGATGGATGAAAAGAAAAAATAATGAGAAAATAATGGAAACAGAAAAAAGAAAATTGGATGGACGGGAAAAAAAGAACAATGGACTGATGGATGTAAGAAAAAGAATAAACGGATTGGTGGATGGATGATCAAAAGAAAATAAATGGATGGATAATAGATGGAAAGAAAAACAATAAATGGATGGATGATGGAAATAAAAACAATAAATGGAAGAATGGATAGATAGATAGAAAAACAAATGAATGGATGGATGATGGAGGAAGGTAAGAAAACAACAGATGGATGGATGGAAGGAAAGAAAAACAATAAATGAATGGATGATAGAAAAAAACAAATGGATGGATGGATGGATGATGGAAAGAAAAACAATGGATGGATGGATGGACGGTAAGAAAATCAGATCAATGGAAAAAATAAAAAAATGGAAGGAATGGAAGAAAAAGATGAATGGATGGAAAGAAAGAAAAAACAACCGTAGACAGACGGATGGATGAAAAAGTATGCAGATATGCAGCTCTCAAATTGTGACATGAACATCGTGAAATAATGGTGATTTGATGGAAAAGGCTTTTAATTTAGATCACGTGCTGGTCTGAGTTCTGATGACAGGCCTCTCTCTCTTTCTGAGCGGACGGGAATCCTGCAGCTGATTCACTCTCATCTCAGCAGACAGAGACAAAGGCTGCATCCTCTAAGGTTCATCTCTCCCTTCATCTGTGTTGTGCTCCTCAGCCCGTTGCCATGGAAACTGTTTTCTTAAGGAGGTCGATCAAATAAAAGTCAGAGAGAAAGAATGAGATCTTGCTCAAGAGTTTCCCCGACTTCAGCTCCAGAGATTCCTCAAGGTCAGTCTGTGCAACACCAGCGAATAATCAAGCACACATAACATATCCACACACCTCTGAAACTCTGGAAACAAACGTTTATGGGAGTGGCCAACAACCTTGCACCACCAATCAGAAAGCCAATTAAAGCAACTTTGATCAAGACTTGATCAGAATGTACATACCACTGGAGCACACTTCACTAGTGACAAAAGTTTTCAAAAGTTTGACATTTTTAATGTTTTTGAAAGATGTTGTATATGCTCAATAAGGCTGCATTTATTTAATAAACAAATACAGTAAAATGTTGTGAAATAGACAGTATTACAATTTAAAATAACTGGTTTCTTTTTGAATATAATTTAAAATGTAATTTATTTCTTTGATCAAAGCTGAATTTTCAGCACGTCACACGATCCTTCAGAAATCATACTAATATGCTGATTTGCTGCTCAAGAGACATTTCTGATTATCATCAGTTGAAAGCAGTTGTGCTGCTTCATATGTTTTGTGGAAACCGTGATATATTTTGTTTTCAGAATTCTTTGATGAACAGAAACTTTAAAAGTATTTATTTGAAATAGAAATCTTTTGTAACATTACAAATGTCTTTACTGTCACTTCTGATTTAATGCGTCCTTGCTGTATAACACTCCAATGTGCAACATTTAAATGGAGAAAATGTTTTAAAAGGTTAGCTTGAAGTTTCAATCTTGTATTCCTTGACACTTTAGACCTTAAAACTGAAACAGGATAGTCACAAAACTATCAAACACTCACTTGAACGCAATTCAAATATTGCATCGCACAACAGTAAACAGCAAACATTTGCAGAAACAGCTGCAAAAACACAAATAAATGTCCACTGCTGGCGATTATCTA